ATAATTTGAAAGAATATAATTTCTAACGACAATGCAGACTTCACCATCTGTGCAAATAGTCCGCGCGCAAACAACGGCACACTGACTTTTATTAGCGAGATAATGCTTTTACAAAGAACACTTGAAACTGTATAAAACTATGTTTAAAGTTCTCAACAACAAACAAATAACTTAACAATAAAGAGATTCAAGAAACAGAGAAAGGACTGTCAATGATATCCCTATTGATGTGTGTTTGATAGACGTTCAAGAGTCAGGTGCAACTTACTTTTATAATCAACTGAATGAAGCTCTTTTTCAGGCGAATTTTCCTCAATCAGAAAGATAACGATCACGGTCAAGTTAACTGAATGCGACTGTTTTAGGGGAAGTAATTCGTGATTGCCATAGTTGTTCCATACTCCGCGTCGTGATTGGTTTAGAAACTCACGCTCCCCCATATTTAACCAATCAAATGCAAACTCGTCGCTGTTAAGTCGAATCAAAGTGAACAGGGCTTATTTGGAACCAATCGGCCGTATAAGATGAAATGACAAACCTCAAATTGTCCTAGGACATACCTGATTATTTGGTGCATATCATGTGTTGCGTGAAGGACGGCATCATGGTGTTTTCTTACTCCGTCGGCGTCTTCAAGCGGAAAAAGGTTTTACTTTTCGGCCAAAATGCCACCTGACGCCGTTTTCACGCTGCTGCAATACATTCTGAAGATTTGTAATCGGTAGTCAGCGATGAACGTAAATGACATCTTTTTTTCGAAGTGCACACCAAGGGCATGCTGAAATTAGTCAACAACACAGTCTTCCTCTCCTTTGATCGGGAAACTCCCTTGCCTGTATACTTTTCCTCGCGCATACAAGTTTGCTTCTGAACCAAACGCGTAGACCTTTTCGCAAAAAATAATCCCAATCTTATTTTCAGTGTCTCGAGGTGACGATGTTATTTGCATTGTTATGCTTCCTTTTTTAAACCCTTTAAATACAAACATCAGTTTCATATTCTCCATACTGTTCTCTTATATTTGGTATGTTACTTACAAGAAGAATTTATCTAACAATCAAGAGCTTCTTGAGTTAGCGATCAAACCCTTTATTCTCTTGACCTTCATGTTTTTTTCATGGGTGATACTGTTAGGAGAATTAGTTGCGTATCACTCATAGGGGTCAAAAGTGTTCATGGATAGAACTGTACAGTGTCATCTCGCCGTAGGCGGAAACTGTACCTCCTTGAGTGCAGAACAATCCTGAAATCACTGTTATCAAGTTCGAACATCCGCTATCTAAAAAGCTGCTCCTAACACTTGAGAGAAGATTAGCAATATTTTGTTACCTTCCATTGGCGTAATTTTGGACAAGAAAATCATTCAATTCGCGCGTTTTATTTGGTTGACTTTATACAAACACAATAAATGTACTCTTTCTATCACATCTTAATCGTTGAAAAAAAAAATTCGTTTATAAATTACAAAAGGATTCGGTGTAAATTTAACCTTTTGAAAAATCTTAGATTGTATGATTAACCCAGGCTACTATAATTTACAGCAAATAATCTCGTCTATCTTTTTCTTCCTTTATGATTAATGAAAACATTAAAATTAGCGTCACAACGAAAATGGAGACAATCTGCAGAATATTTAAACGAGAGATGGGTGTACTTAATGAAACGAACGGTAACTCTGAATTCCGTAGATCGCTTTCCTAATAGCCTCTTCCAGACGACGTTCAGTACGGTAAACAAAGCTTGATAGTAATTGACGCAATAGAAGAGGAGGAGTGAAAAGGCGAGGGAGGTCTGGGTAAGATTCTTTACCCGACTCGAACCGACCCAAGCCTCCCGCGCTTTTTCATTACGCCGCAACTACCGAGCTGTTTACTATTTCGCTCCGTTTGACTAACTGAACGCCTGGAAAACGCTACTTTTCTTCCATAAGTCAATTATGGGAGAGATTTTCCAGCCGAGGAATAAGTAAAAAAAAACCTGAGCATGAACAGCTGTTGTAATTTCATCAAAGTCTCTGAGGCGGAGTAATTCCACGACATTCCCCGAAATTTACACTCTCAACAAAGATTTAATGTTCTCCCTTATTATAAAAGTGCTTTCTGATTGTCGAATTTGATTCCCTGGAGGTCGGTTAATGTCTGTTTCTCTTCATTCTTCTCTGGATAATTCTGCAGAAAAATTATCTGTTGACTGATTCTCTAGAAAACCAAGCAAGTTCCACATCAAAATGTAACTCAGAACGTCCTTTAAAAGCTGGTGTCATTGCTTGTCTCAACTTGAACAAGAACTGTTTTTACTGCCGATTTGCTACTTTTTATTCCCCCATGTTCATTCTGATTCGAATCTGCAGTCTGACAGCAGTCTGACGTAACCTGTGCATATTCACTGCTCTTTTCACCTAGTGTAAAGGTATCATTGGGGGCAGCAGACTCGTTATTGTCGCATTCCGTGTTTCCAAACGAATGCGTATCTTCCATCCAGGAACGTTGCCTCTGTGCGTATTCTCTGCTTATTTGCATCCATGACTTGACCACAGTGTAGATTGTGAGAGAAAGCAGAATAACAATGGCGATCACCATGAAAACTATGGCAAGAAGGCTTTTCGTGTCCATGATAACTTGAGCCTAAAAAAAAAAACAGATCCGGATTTACTTCATGGTTGGCGAGTGGGTAAGAGTTACCGCAGCGCACAGTTTACGAGACAAAAACAATCGTATTGCTTTTCGTTTTAAGTTATTTAACCAGAATTCTTACAGCACAAGTTCCTCAATTTCCTGTCGTGACACACCCTGTCATTCAGATTAGGACCCCTGGGGTGTATTCTAGTATTTATCTGACTTGGAATTCCCTGGGTGGTGAAACATGCAAGTTCATTTAAGAACACTCAAATTTCCTGGCGTACGAAGAGAGAAACCCTTTGGTCGAGTCCTATCTGCGGACATTTTCGTTCAGGATCGTTGTCTAGTTCTCTTACAGGTAATTTACATCAAATCATGCTATATTTTGTTAAATCGTTAAAATCAAGACGATATTAAAAATCCTTTCCCCGTACAGTAACACCCCGGTGATTCCAACCATCCTCAACTCGATCCTCGCTAGAACTTGAACCAAAATCGATGCCTCTGGATTTCCGTCATACATGAATAGTTGGTCCTTGTTAAAGAAACCACAACGAATCCGGTAAGAGGACGTAGTGTAATAAAAGAATTCCTAGTAAAACATTAGCTCAGCACGCGCGTAATATCTGAACTTGGTCTTATTGCGGATTGCCGAAATGTTAAAATCAGACATCAGGAATCACTTTAAAAAAAGTAAAAAAGGTTTCTTACATGCACCTTTCGCTGTTTTCAAAGTGTCGTGTGAACTTTCAAAGCATTTAAATGTCTAGTAACAGACAGAATCTGCCGTAGAAATCAAAACTTTAAAAAAATCAGAGGCGTGAAGCCAAAAATGTGACTACTGAGTAAATAAGCTCAGTGTTACGTGGCTTTTTAACCTCCATTTTTCAAAGGATATCTTTTAAAACTTCGCATTTCCTTTCTCGTCGTTGATCATGGTGGTTCCGCTATTTATTACGCCAGAGAAAAAAACATTTTCTTGTGTTTACTATACGCTGAACATCGCGATTCTTCCAATCCACATTTATTCTTAGGCACCGGCCAATAACCTGTCGACCCGAATCTTCTTATGAAAATATCCTCATAAAGTGACCTAGAGCCCCCCAGAACACTTTCAAGAGCTAACAAAGACTAGTCGCTTTCTGTTTTTTCTTTTAGTTCAATCTTCTAACATCACAATGAAAGCAAGAGCACATGTTTGCCTAAGATCACAACATAATCGCAAATTGTAATTTGCCTTACTAACAACCTCGCATTTTCAAAAGAGAGAGCGCTAGTTTCCCCTAGCCCGAAACAATACCCACCTTGAAGAGCACTCTCTTTTATGACCTTATATTCACCTTTTAGTAGGTAGAGATGAAGGATTGTTGCTAGCTTCTCGGGTGTACGTTGCAAAGCGTAGGATATTTGAAGTAAGCGTTGCACAAGAACTGCTGCGCCTCATAACAATGGTGTTGACAAATCGGATTACAGTACATAAAACGGTCATGATTCTTAACATGATAGATTGCGTGACGCACTGATGAAAATAACACAATATTTAGTGTATTTTGGATCTCTTTACATATCCGTCTCATATGGATCAAAAGCCACAAAAAGGCAAGGATCGTTGAGTTTTAATCTTTCCTTTTTTCGCAACGTAGTTAGTAGTAGTAATAGGTCTGAGTGGAGTCCAATTCGGTCGGGAGTCTGATTTGTTCATCACCATTATGATTACAGACCGAATTGGACGACACGAAGATAAAAATTACAGTTTCCGAGAAAAGAGCTTGGATTATTTGCCTAAATATTTGAACTATAGGATAAACAAAATCACTACTGTCTTCCAAAATATTGTCTTTGTTAAAGGCAAAAAGATTTTTCCATTTTGAAAATAGTCCCAATTTAGGAGTATGTACATTGTTTCTTTGGTGATTGAAACCAAGGTTGAGATTGGTTGATTTAAACTACAACTTTGAATGTGATTGGTTGATTTACAATACAACTTTGACTGTGATTAGCTTTTAATAGCTTGGTAAGTGAATAAGTGGAAAGTAGGAGTTTTTTAAACCAATCACAATCGAGGAAATTATAATTTTTATGATAGTTGTGTTAGTTAGGATAAATCTGTTTCTTCTTTGTTTCATTTCTACACCAATTGGACTTTTTTTCCTCGACGTTTTTCTTAGGGGGGGAGGAGCAATTAAGGTCGTTTAATAAAGGGAGGAAATGAGGTGAGGGAAAAAAGGAGAAATGAGCGAAAGATCTTGAGAAGCAGACAAATTACTAACCAGACTAGGGGATGAGATGCCTTCTGTCTCTCTCTAACTTGGTCTTCGTCGCCACCTTGCGGTCACGGCTTGCCACTCAACGCGCACTCACACAAGACCACACAAGGGAACGTTTTGGGTAAAAAACCTTAACGACGGCTTTAAAGGTTTATTCGTCTTGGCACGTAAAAGTTGAATAACAGCCACTGAAAAACTACACTTGATTGATAAGATTCATTTCGCTATTGCATGGCTTCGAAAAAGTATAATTTTACTTTACTTGTCTGCATTTCTTTGTTTGGCTTACACAAACAAAATCGGTGCGCTAGTGGCCCTAACAAACTTTTAATTTACATTTGCAATTTTTGTCAAAAGATATCGGTCACGGCCAGTAAAGCCAGCTTTAACCCTATAAGTTTGGTTCTCAGGGCGAAACTTGGCCCCCTTGGCCAGTGTTGGCAGGTTGTGTTGTGGAACTGAGTTTGAGCGACGAAGCCGAGAAAGTAGTGACATGACGCGAGGAGAATAAGAAGGAGAAAATATTTTGAAGTGAGAACCGCAATAAAATGTGTTTCTATTTTTTTGCCTCTTGGCAGGTTCTTTTATTTTAATTGCGTGTTTGCGGCTCCGTCGCCTTCCCTTCAATCAAGTATCCGAACTAAAACAGCTAGCTATCCGGACCGGTAGAAACTCGATTGCTTCTTCACTGAATTAAACTAAGATCCCTAGTTAAATCTAGTTAATTTTCATAATCCTACTTAATAAGTTTCTTTTCTTTAACATGCGGTGCAAATAACTCTATTGTTTTGTTCATCACTCAGAAGCAACTGACACGTTTCACATGGAGTTTTATTGTGCAGCAGTTGTGCATCTTGTTCGCCTTCCTTTTGATCCACCCCTTCTGATAAATGTTGATCCATCAATTCAGTTTTCAAGTCAATGTCATATTCTGATTTCCTTCTACTAGTTTGTAACGTGTCTGTCATACTGTTCCTCCGAGGAGTATGGTCACTAAAACATCTACTATCAACATGAGCACGTCTTTTTTCGGTACCATTCAATTTTTCCTTGCCGATTTCTAGGTCAGCGTCACCATCCATCATAACATGTGTTTTACGGTCAATATCTGAGCCCGTAATATTACGATCAGCACCAGCACCTTCTAAATCCTTATCCTCCATGACGTCACTGAGTGGAACGCAAGTTGGCAACCTTCGTTGAGATGAAATTGGTTTTTCCCCGCGCAAAAATTTCTGTCTTTTAGTTGCTTTGAAGTCCTTTTGTTTACAAAATATGTTTTCTTTACTATTTTCTTCCTCATAAGAAACTTTCGGTGTCTTTCCCTTCGGCCAGTTGTTTAAAGTCTTCCTAGGAAAACGAAAATTATTAAACCATGTGAAAGTAACAGTAAACATACAACAGTTAGGGGCGTGGGTGCGCCTGCGCGCGTGATTCCGTTCTGATCTTCCCTATTTCTTTTATATGAATGAGTTGAGATCTATGGTATTACGTGCTGTGTTCTTCAGTAAACTCCAATAAGATGCTGGCATAAACTCTAAGTTTAAAATTCCTCTCTACACCCCCATGACAACAGGAAAAGCTGGAAACTCGTTGTGCTGAGGCCACATCCTCGTTCGCCATCTTGTAAAAGCATTTCCATTAAGCCTGCATATGTTGCCTTCCTTGCGTTTGCGTTCGACATGCGAACGTGGCTTGCATTTGCACTTACGTCGTACGTGTGAACCAGGCTTGAAGCCTAGTTCACATGTGCAACGCAAATGAAAATAACGCAGTGGAACATGCAGGCTAATAATAACAATTAGATAGGAACTGATTTCTATCGCACTTTTTAACGCAAGATGTTCAAAGGCACAATACATTGAAATGAACTGATAACATCAAATGAAAATTGTGATACATAAGTAAAATAGATATGAAAAATAATGTAAAGAGGTCAGAATTTGTTCAAATCCGCTGAGAGTGCATCTAAAATTTTTACATCAGGAGTAGAAAAAGTGACGTGAAAATTCTTATTTTGATAAAATCGCACAATCTTTAGGATTCGTTCACCCATTTTCCTCCCACGCTCAGTCATCGCCGCTGGCCCTATCCTGTCACCAAATCACTATTTTCTTTAACGTACAAATG